GTTAAGATAAAGCCATTAGACTGGGCCCTATTGATGTCCCTATAAAAAGGGGAAAATCTGGACACAGAAACATGAAAATGTCATGTGAAGATTGGAGTGATACTGCCACAAGGTAAGGATCACCAAGAGCTACCAGCAACTGGAAGAGGCAAAGAAGAACTCTCCCCCTAGAGCCTTCAGAGGGGGCACCACCAGCACCCTGATCCCAGACGTCTGAACTCCAGAACTGTGACAGAATACATTCAGTTACTGAAGCCATCTCGTTTTTCATGCTTTGTTGTGGCAGCCCTAGGAAGCTAATATAAAACTCACCCATCATAACCAACAAGCATTCATTAAGCACCGACTATGTGCAAGGCAGAAACCTAGGTTTTGGGAAGAGAGAATAAAAAGACTCGACCTAATTTCTCTGTGTGTATGTGCCTACATATACGTTATACACAAATTTTGCAAAAAATATATATGTATGCCTACGTGGAGTTCTTAGCAGTACATGGCTAGGTGCCAAATGAAAGGGGCAGCCTGGGTGTCCTGTAGGTTAAGGGAAGAGTGACCACAGCACATGGAAGTCAGGGAAGTTACCAGAAGGGAAGTGGGCCTTTAGCTGAGCCTTGACGGACAGGGAAGACTTGGATAAACTGAGACATGGCAGGGAAGGGACTCCAAGCATGGCTAGGGCCTCAGCAAGGGTTAAGAGGAGAGAAGAGATGCTATGTGTATAGAAAATAAAGTCAGGAAGGAGGAGAGGCAGGACAGGCAGCTTCAGGCAGGCGAATAACTCCAGAAGGTCTAAGGGGGTAAAAACAAAGACCCAGGGCCCCTGGGTTTGGCATTCAAAGGGAAGAGAATCAGCGTTTAGTCATTATCTCTTTAATCCGTATGACAAACCAGACACTGTGGTGGGTATTTTGCATATATTAGCTCATTTACTCTTTGAAACCAGGCATCGTTGTGTCTACTTTAAGGATGAGGAAGCTGTGCATTTGGGAGCTCATCTGTGGTCAGCAGAAAGCAGTCTCAGGGCAGGTGATATCTCCTGAAGGACTAAAAGGAACAGGCAGCCAGGGGATCTGCCTTAGGGGTAGGAAACCTCCAAATACACCCCCACAAACCCTTGACTCCATCAGAAGGTGCTGACCCTGTTGTAATTGCATCCGACAGCCTCCAAACACACCTTTGTGGAAATGGGCAAAATACGCCATCCACAACACACCTACATGGGGAGTAATTCCTCTCTCCAATGACTGGAGAACAGCAGATGGAAGAATGGCCCAAATGGCAGCAGCCTCTATGCATGGCCAGCTGTCCCATGACACTGTGGCATCCCTGCAATATTAAACACCTCCCACAACAGTGTGAAAGTCTGAGGAAGGCCCAGGCTGCCCTCGTCATTTGCAGCTCTAACAGGACCCTGGAAATCCTTGAGAAGTCTCACTTCAACAGAAGTCAATCGGGCCACTTACAACTTTCTATTCACATATCTGAGCCAGCTCCAATCCCCTGGCCTTTCCACACAGACGATCCCTCTTCAAAGGAACCAAAGTCATGTGACCACGTAGGGTCATCTAGAGTTTTGGCATCTTGCAATTCCATGGGTTCCAAGGAGGGGAAGCCATGTTGAAACCACATCCAAGGAAGTGGCCCCTACAGAGTCTCCTCGCCAGTGCATGGCCCTGGCCCTCAGTGACTCATGCCAGGAACCTGGCCAGGACATGGTGATGAAATCACTCAGAGCAACCTCCCAGTTACCCCTAGAAACTTCAAGGGCAGACACCACCCAAGGACTTCATCCCTAGGGAAACAACAGCCCCACCCTCCTCCCCTCTACCCCAGTTCTTCTGCAATGAGTCACCAATGTGTCACACACAGGCACTTAGACTGCACACCTGGTCCACCTGGTGTAAGAAGTATCCTGGTGCATATGCTATCCCAGCAGTGCCTGTCCTGTGCTCCTCAGGGCCTTGGAGTTCTCAAGCATCCACAGGAGGGTTTCTGGGGGCTGAGGGGTAAAGGGAGACTGGGAGGACTTGGGGCCCCATTAGCACCACTTTTGCTTGGTTTGCATATGAGGGTTCAGTAAAACATTTTGATTTTTTTTTCAAAGAGGGTCCTATTGACAAGTTTGAAAAGCACTGTTCAAGACACACAGGCAAACTGGCACACAATTTGTTGACTCCACTCAACACAGCTAAACACACAAGGCTCCTTCCGTGGCATTACTTGATTCTTCTTCAGTGGTTACAGACCCTCCAGGGTCCTCCAGCACCTAATACCCCAGTTTTGGCACCCAGAAAACTTTCACAAACATCTCCCAAGGCACGAAGCTTGGGTCTAACTCCAAAAGACTATATTCCCCAGTTTCTCTACCATCTGTACCAACAGGCACAGCCACCAGGCCCTTGTCCTGTCCTTCACTCCAGCTTAGGCCACTTCTTCAAAAAGTGTTCTAAGCAGCTCTGAGCACCTGGACACAGCCCAGGCCCATGTCTTGGACCAAATCATCAGCTCTAAAAGGGACAGGCAGGGAGAGGAGCAGTGAGGACAGAAGAGGACACTGCCTAGTGACAGATGGCCCCACTCAGTCCTGTTCATCAGCAGGTGTGCAGCGGCTGAAGCCTGACCACTTCCACTCTCTGCTTAGGACTTTTACTCCCAAACTTTGTCTTTGGAGAATGTTCGAAGCTACACAGAAGCTGAAAGAGCCACTCAGCTACATAACCATAGTACCATTATCACAAGAAAATTAGCATTTATTTAATAATACGTAACATATAGTGCATATACAAAATTGTATAGCCATCCTAGCATATCTTCTATAGGTTTTTTTTTTTTTTTTTTTGCCAAGATCTAATCCAGGTTCACTCATTACATTTAATGTTAAGTCTCTTTAGTCTGCTATCTGCAACAAATTCTCATCTTTTTTAAAAATAGCATTGAATTTATTGAGGGATTCAGGCCAATTGTTTAGTAGAATGTCCCACATTCTGGTTTTCTGTTTCCTTATTATTAGTTAAACAAGTTTGGCATGAATATTACGTATGTGATGTTGTGCACCTCTTAGCTGAATCACCTCAGAAGTCATGTAACATCAGCTCGTCCTACTATTGGTGAAGTTAGGTTGAATCACTCAGTTGAAATGCTGGTTGCCTGCCTACTCCACTGTGAAGGTACTGTCCCTTTAGAATCAGTAATCCATTGGGGTGATACTTTGAGAGTAACCTACAATAATCTTTCACCAACTTATTTTTGCATCTATTGATGAGTATACCTGGAGGTTACAAAACAGAGATTTTCTAAACTGATTAGCGAGTGTTCTATTAAAAAAAGGAGGCTTCCCTTTTTTATCCTCTCATCTTGCGCCTCTACTCCTCTTCTCCAATTATTACTATAAACATAAGGATTTTTAAAAATATCCATTGTGTTATAACCCACGACTGTCATTATTCTGTTTGATGCTCCAGTTGTTCCCATTTTTGGCCAGTGAAAGCCCGTTCAAACTGGCTGCTCGTCCTTTACTAGGATACTAGGACCCCATTTGTCTCTGAGTGGCACTTTATTTTCCAGAGGTCCCATATCCCCCTCATCTTTTCCCCGCTGCAACCCAGAACTAGCTGTTTTTCTGGATCTTTTTAGTGGAACTCATCCACTCTTTGTAGGCAGATCAGCAATTTTACTTCTTCTCACTTTCTCTAGTCAGAACTTCATTTTCCTTTCACCCTGCTTCCTTTTCCTGGCATTCATCAGTTGCATCAGCACAGGCAGCTCTCTGTCCTTGGTAGAAAGTGGGGAGGAGACGGCAAGGACAGACAGAGGCCTACGGTAAACTTAGGGACAGTATCAAACACTTCGCCGTCAATGAGAAGCTTTCTTTTTTATAGTTGACCACATTCATGGTTAACCCCAAAGCAAGGCTTGTATTTCAAGAGGTCACTACGTCATGACTCCATTTATGACATTTATATCATATCATTTTATTTTATTTTATAATCACATAAAATACATGCACAAGAAAAAGTACTGCCTACTTCCTAGCACCCCATCCTCTTTTACTTTGTCTCCATCAGCACTTACCACCTCCTAACCTCTATAAAATGTACTTCATTATTTTGTTTACTTTCATTCTTGTCCCACTAGAATGTAAGTTCCATGGATGACAGATTTGGTTGACTGCTTTGTTCACTACTATACTCCTACTGTCTAGAACAGTGCCTGGAATGCAGTAGGTGCCCCATAATTATGAATGAGTAAAATGGGTTGGCCAGGACCACAGGCCTAGAGGTCAGCAGGACCTCCTCTTTATCCTTCAAGCCTCCTACTTCACGGTCACCTCCTAAGCAGTCAGTTATTTCCTTCTCTGTGTTCCCAGATTCCGTCTTACAGGGATGGATCCTAACACCTGAAATATCACATCATCATTGTCTCACCCAGAAAACTGCAAATTCCTCCAAGGCAAGGACATACTTATCTTCTTGGCCTCAGGACTTAGCACAGGAGCTGGCACAAAAAAGTTTGCGGAATGCCTCCTACCCCCAGCCAAGAAAGTGTCCTTGGTGCGGGGGCACCATGCTGCCTGCCAGGCCTTCCTCTCTTCTGCGGGAGCAGGGCCCCCGGCTGCTGCTCCAAGCTGCTGAGAAAGGCTTCAGCCCCGCCAGCTGCTCACAATAGGCCCTTTGATGCAACTGGATTGGGCTGTTTCAGAAAAACCCACATTCCCTGCCATAGCACCTGTCACTAAGGCCAGTGTCCCTGCAGCTTCAAGGCAACACAAAGCCACAGTGTTCACCAAGAAACAAGAGCAGGGCACGTCGCTGGCAGAGCCAGCTGGGGAGAGCTCTCTGTCTTCTGGGAAGACGGGAGATGAGGTGGGAAGGTTGAGGGGGTCTTCTCCTCAACAGGGGCGCAAACACTCAGCCTCTGGAAATGGCCTGGTTAGGAGACAGGAGAGTGGGTTAAGGGTAGAGACTGGAACTTTTCGGGGCTTTGCCTCAGAGATACCTTACCTGCTCCTTTCTCTCAATCTTCTTTTCACTTTGCTCAGGAACTGGACTCTCAGGAGGTACGGTCAGCCGTAGTCTACAAACATTTGCCTAGAAGAGAGGGAAAGGAGAGGCCAGTTAGGAGTCAGCATTTGGGGCAGAAAGAGCCAGATGACCTTGGGCTTCTCACAGCCTGTTTCCCCTACTTCAAATGGGGATCACTGCCCTGATCATACAGGAGCCATACAGGAGATAAGGCCAGCCTTATCTTCACAGTACCAGGCCAGCTTGGTACAGCACAGGGAACCACCACCCTGGGGCTCAAAGAAGGAAACTACCACATCACTTGATCCATTTCAAACATTTCTTTACCAATGGCTCAGGTTCCATAACAATATGTATAGAATGATCTCATTTCACAAGTATAGGCAAAAATATAGCTAGAGGGACAGAAGCCAAAATATGTACAGTGGATATCTCTATTGGGATGGGAGGGTGCTTTCTACTTGCCTATATACTTAATTTTTCTATAATATACATGTACATGTTTAATCACAACTTTTTTTCAAAAAAGTCCACATACCCATGTTCATAGCAGCATTATGCACAATAGCCAAAAGGTGGGAGCAACCCAAATGTCTGTTGACAGATGAATGGATAAACAAAATATGATTTATACATACAATGGAATATTACCCAATATTAAAAAGGAAGGAAATTCTGACACATGCTATAACATGGATAAACCTTGAAGACACTTTGCTAAGTGAGATAAGCCAGTGGCAAAAAGACAAATACTGTATGATTCTACTTAGATGAGATACCAGGAGTAATCAAAATCATACAGACAGAAAGTGGAACCGTGGTGGCCAGCAGGTAAAAATACAGGGAAAGTTAGTATTTAAAGGGCATGGAATCCCAGTTTGGGAAGATGAAAAAAATCCTAGAGATAGATGGTGGTGCCATTTGCACAACAGTGTGGATGCACTTAATGCTACTGAACTATACACTTAAAAAGGGTCAAAATGGTAAATCTCACAAGTACGTTGCTACAATTAAAAATTTTTAAAAAGCTGTCCCTGTTTGCTTAATACAGACTAAAAATAAGACAGTTAGCTGGAAAGGCATAGGAGAAGAAAATGTAATGCTTACGAGTTGGTAAGACATCTGACTCCTTAATTAGCTATACTAGCATGAACATTTGTCACTAGTCACTGAGATCCTCATGTCAGTTTATTAAAGGTTGCCAACAAAGTTCACAGAAATATTGCATAAAGGTTCCTAAATGATTTTTTAAAGTCTAAGTTGTACCATTTCTGTTAAAAATAAAAAAGCATTACACCATTCAGTGAGAGAAGCTACAACTTGTGTGATTTATCATATTCTGTTGACAAAGGGTGACTAGGAGCAAAGTCATATTCCTACTCAACAGCGCGAAAAATGGACTACTATAATCTGTAGTACAAGGGGACAATGACAGTAATCATAGTAATAGCTAACCATGTATAGGAACCTTCTAAGTGCTTTACAGGTATTTATTCATTTAACCCTCACCACAAACCTATGGTAATAGATTCTCTTACCTGCCCCATTTTGCAGATAAGTAAGCTAAGCCTCTGAAGGGTTACATGGCTGGGAAATGGCAGAACTGAGATTTGAACCCAGGCAGTCTCTGGGTTCAAATTAGTTCATTCTTAGCTCTTATACTCATGGCCCCCATCACATGCCTGAAATGCCATATGGGCTCGATTCATGGGAGTGCTGTTTGTGCCCTAGTATGAATTGAATTGCATCCCCCTAAAATTCATCCATTAAAGTCCTAATCACTTTCCTGGCATCTCAGAATGTGACCTTATTTGGAGACAGGGTCTTTATAGAGGTAATCAAGTAAAAATGAGATCATAAGCGTGGCCCTAAATCAAAATGACTGGTGTCCTTATAAGAGTGCAAAATCTGGGGACAGATACACATACAGGGTGAACGTCATATAAACATTAAGACGACCTGTCAACAGCCAAGGAGAAGGGCCTGGAATAGATAGTTCCTTCGTAGACCTCAGAAGACACCAACCTTGCCAATACCTTAATTTTGGGCCACTAACCTCCAGAACTGTGAGACAAGAAATTTCTGTTGTTTAAGCCACTGGCGTTGTGGTAGTTTTCACGGCAGCCCTAGCAAACAAACTCTTTCCACCCCCGCCCCAGTCTGGTTGGCAGGGTCACAGATCTGCACTGGTCCACAGGGTGGCCTCTGAGCAAAACTAACCTGCAGCCTAGAAGCCCAGAGCTACAGGGAACGTCAAACACCTCTTGAGTTCAACCTGCCCACCTGTGAAGAAACCCAGCACCCAAAAATGTACCTGACAGGTGGCACCAGCCTGTTCATATTCCATGAACAGGTTAGGGATCCCAGGTTTGGGACCCATGTTAGCACTTCTGCATATACTACTGCCGTCCTCCAAGGCATTGCACTTTGCTACCAGGCACCTCTAACTTCCTGATCTGAGCTTACACCAGAATTTCTACCTAATGGACCCAGGGTTGTCCTTGGACTGCAAAATAATTCCCCTTCCTCTAGACAGTCCTCCTGTCCCTTGAACCTCCTTTCTTCTGGACGAAACAACCCCAGTTCTTTAAATCATATGACTTGGTTTCAAGATCCCTCTCCATCCTCATCCTCCTCTTGGCAAGCATCATCCCCCAGGGGACCCCGGAATCAGATGTGGCCTGACCCCCACGGTTATCATTGCCTCTTGTGCAGCCAACTTTGCAAGCAACCTTCAAAGCTCACCGTCAGTCATGTTGGCCAAAAAGAAACCAAGCCATACTACCAGGTAGCTCTCTTTCCTGATGGGCAACAACACTGATGGGAATCTTGAATCTCACCAGAGAAAGGCAACCCTCTGGCTCCAGGCCCCTCAGACTGGTTTCAACCATTTGCACAAGCATCAAAGTGTAACTCAGACCATATAGATAGTCCAAACCTGTGGTGCTCAACAATCTCCTGTTAGGCTGGGTCTAGTCCATGCATAATTCTGCAAGGAAAAGGAAGTCCTTTTCTCCTGCACCACATCCCATACACACACACACACACGAGTGTGCACACATGTACATACATCCTATGCGTGCGCACACACACACAGGCACCAACATCTACTATCTGTGTGTCTATGGGAAAGTTACTTAATCTCTCTGAATCTCAAGAGTAAAATGGGATAAAAGGAGAGTGTCACATAGTAAGCCTCTGTGAATATTAGATATTTTTATTTTGATTTGGTTATTTATTTATTCTGAGACTGGGTCTTGCTCTGTTGCCCAGGCTGGAGTGCAGTGGTGCAGTCATAGCACTGCAGCCTCAGTTTCCTGGGCTCAAGTGATTCTCCAACCTCAGCCCCACAAACAGCTGGGACCACAGGCAAGCATCACCATGCCTGGCTAATTTTTTATTTTGGTAGACAAAGAGTCTTACTATGTTGCCCACGTGGGTCTCAGACTCCTGGGCTCAAGCAATCCTCCTGTCTCGGCCTCCAAATGTGTTGGGATTACAGGCATGAGCCACTGCACACAGCCAGATATTTTTACTATTATCTAGATGTTATCATCACACTATATGCTTCAAAATGAAACAGACCTGCTTAGCCTCACAGCCCTGTTTCCAGGAAAATAACAATTTGGTCAATGAATCAGAGACATTAACACTGTAAGTGATGACTTTCGGTTGGTTGATTATTTTAGAGGGGTAGTCCTTAACGGTCATAATTTTCAGAAAGGGGACCCCATGGGTCCAATCACTCCAAAGTGAGATGGTCCCTCCCCTGGCTTGAGCCCATTCTTCATCTGCCCATCTATATTCCTCAACATGCTTCCTATGATGGGCTGGGCAACCCTTATATGAAGCTCTCACACTGAGCAATACCCCGAGGTATACAAAGCCACAAGGTAAACAGAATGCATAAAATAAAATGAACTTGTAAAATAAAACACACGACTTCAAAGACACTTGGCAGTTGCAGCAGGTGCTTGAGGCTACTGCAGCACCCTGTTTAAAGTTTACTCTTGTCAACAGAGGTGCTTTATCAAAATATTAAGGAGCACAGTGGGTTTTTCTTTAATAAATACTGACCCACTGACGGACTGGCTGTTCAGGAGCAATTTAAACCCAGCTTAGAACAGGATCACACATATTCCTTACAAGACAGCCAAATGTATGGTCATGGGGAAAAAAGAAAGTTGCAGAACAAAACATTAAGAATAATCCTATTTTTATTTTTTAAATATTCCCTGATAACTTGTGCAGATGTAGGGGGAAAATATTCTTAAGGAAACACATTTCTGTGTTGGTGGCAACAATGTTAAGTATATGTAAGTTTTTAATTAAAATGTTAATAGTAATAGTAATAATAAAGACTGGGAGAAAATATGTCAGAAAGAGACAGATCCAGAAAGAGACTAATCCTTCCACAGGACTGCTTCAGGAGCGGCAAGAGGCACATTCTAAAGGTCTAAAATGTAGGCTGAATCCCTAACAGAAGCACTAAGGACAGTAACCCCTGAACCACCCATAAAGTTGACTGAGTACAATCTACCTCCCTCCATTCATTCACTTTCAGCAATCTCCCCATGGGAAAATTTTCCCCTGAGTAACATCAAGGCAACATTCCTTACCTCCGAGCATTTTACGAGGCTGATCTCCATGGTCTCCTGAAACTCATATACACAATCTCCAGAGCTGCCCCAGGCTTGGCAGTGCCTGAAGGGCAGGTAGGGCACTTTATTCCCAGGGGTTCCCAAAGCAGCTTGTTCAGGGCTTGTGTTATGAACAATGCAAAGAACTGCATCCTACCCTGAACACCACTGCTACCTGACCAGCTGTCCCTGGGGGCAAGGGTCTCTTCCAGGGAATCAAAGCAGGAAGCTGGACTCAGCGTACTTTATTACTCAGTTAATGAGCACCCACTACTTGCAAAATACTTTTTAGGGACTATGAGGGTACCACGATGGCAAAAAAAAATAGCTGTGCCCCCAAGGAGTACATAATCTAGAAATATACCCCAACAAGGCAATCAAGAACACTTGGAATAACAACAAGGCAATCAAGAACACTTGGAATAA